AAATGTCATGACTTCATGGGCCTATATCTCCTAATCCAAGTATTTTTTGGACATCAACCCTCAAGGACAAAGTTGTAGAATTCATCATGCTCTACAACTCTCATGTTGAAAATTTTCCTTGAATCATCATTTTTTGTTGACTTTGTTGATTCTTGATGATCAAGCTTGATATTTTTTAATGTCTTGATGATTCTTGATCTTTGAAATTCAATGTTGACCAAAAAGTCAAAGTTTGACTTTATGTGTGACTATTGACTTTTCATCAATTGATCCAAATTTCAACTATCAATCCCTTGATCTTTAGAAATGATTTGAGCCATAAATTTAAGTCAAGATATTGTGTTTAAGTCTTTTAGATCATGCTTCAAGCCATTAGGTCATGTACTAGGTCAAAAGTCAATGATCAGTCATTCTCAGTCAAAACCCTAATTTTGACAATTTTGCCGCTTTGATGATTTGAGTACTTTCCTTGAGGAATTATGATTAAATATTGATCAAATGATGAATTTCACATAAAAATATTGATGTTGGCAAAAAATCTTGAAGTTTGACTGTATATTGACCACAATTGAATTTTTACCCAATACAGCTGATTTCCAGTCATCTGAGAAATTGACTGAGCAAATTTGTGATGCAAAGCTTGAAACTTGGTATGCGTATTCTTGGAGATCTATGATGAACCATGAAAGTCACTTGAGGCATCAGAAGTCCAATTTTCCTTGAGAAAACCAAAACTCTAGTTGTGGATCCAATGCTTAGGAGGTAAGCTTGTCTGATCAACTCTTGAGTATTCTTGAACATTTGAGAAATTTCTTGAAGAAAAGGGGTGAAAATTTTTGGGGTACAACAGTTGGGTATGAAGAAAGAGATTGCAGAATTTGTGCATTCTTGTTTGACTTGTCAGAAGTCGAAGATTGAACATCGTAAGCCATCTGGTTTATTACAGTTGTTATCTATTCCTGAATGGAAATGGGATAGTATTTCTATGCATTTTGTTTCTAGTTTACCTAGAACACCGAGTAATTGTGAATCTATTTGGGTTATTATGGACAGGTTGACAAAATCTGCTCACTTTATTTTGATGAGAATGGATTATTCGATGGAGAGGCTTGCAAAGTTGTACATTGAGAAGATTGTAAGTTTGCATGGTATTCCATCTAGTATTGTGTCAGATATAGATACAAGGTTTACTTAGAGATTTTGGGAAGGTTTGCATAATGCTCTAGGTACAAAGTTGTGTTTGAGTTCTATTTATCATCCTCAAACAGATGGTCAGACTGAGAGGACAATTCAGTCACTTGAGGATCTTTTGAGGATTTGTGAGTTGGAACAAGGAGGTGCTTGGGGTAGTTGCTTTCATTTGGTTGACTTTACTTATAACAACAGTTTCCATTCAAGTATTGGAATGCCACCGTTTGAGGCTTTGTATGGTAGAAGTTGTATGACGCCTTTGTATTGGTATAAATTGGGAGAGAGTGTTGTGGTTGGATCTGAGATAGTTCAACATATTACGAATAAGGTTTAGATGATTCAAGAGAAGATGAAGGCTTCTTAGAGTCGTCACAAGAGTTACCATGACAAGAGGAGGAAAACACTTGAGTTTGAAAAGGGAGATCATATGTTTCTTAGTTACTCCGGTAACGGATGTTGGTCGAGCGTTGAAGTCCCGTAAGTTGACGCTGCATTTTATTGGTCATTATCAGATTTCAGAGAAAGTAAGTGAAGTGGCTTATCATATTGCTTTGCCACAGTCGCTTTCAATTCTCCATGATGTGTTTCATGTTTCTCAGTTGAGGACATACGTTATGAATTCGTCTTATGTGGTCCAATTAGATGATGTACGTGTAAGAGGTAACATGACTGTGGAGATATCACCTATGCGAATAGAGGATTCGGAGTTGAAACAACTTCGTGGTAAAGATATTGTCTTGGTGAAGGTAGCTTGGGGAGGACCGACGGGTGGAAACGTGATTTGGGAACTTGAGAGTTAGATGAGGGAGACTTATCCTGAGTTGTTTGTTTGAGTAATTTTTGAGGAAGAAAATCTTTTAAGTGGGGGAGAGTTGTAACACCACGATTTCCTTTATTAATTATTTTATTAATTATTTTCCATGAATAATTATTATTTGGTTTGATAATTATTTAATTATTTAATTTTGTGTGATCATGTGAATAATTGATTTAATTGGAATATATGTGTTATTTGAGTGATTTGGCTAGTAAGTGTGAGGATAATATTATTAAGTATTGAGCTTTATATGTCACATTAATGAGTGTGTGAGATAAGCCCAATAGAGAAAAAAAGGGTTAGTAAGAGTTGGAAAATAAAATAGAATTAGAAGAGAATTATCAAGAGAAGAGAAGAGGAGAAAAGAGGAGAAGAGGAAGAAGAAGGAGAAAACCTAGAAAGTATCTACATTTAAGGTAAGGGTGAGTATTCTTTGATTTATGGGTGTATGTAATGATATTTGATGGGTAGTAACATGAAATTATGGATTTGTTCTTCAAATGCTAGTTTTGATATGTTAGGGTTTGGATTTGATATTCGTAAATTTTGTGTTAGAAATCATGTTTTAATGTTTCTAATTGATGATAAATGTTAGATATAAGTCAATATGCATTTAATTTATGAAATATGGATATTTTGGATAAATTTTGGGTTAAAATCCGTATGAGGCGGTAGATGTCTGCAACAAAAAATTTCTGCATAATCGCGAGGCTGCTTAGCGTGGTAGGGGGCGCTTAGCGCGGTCTGGAATTCAACAATTATTATTTTCTAAAACTGTTCTGAATTATGGATGCTTATGATTTATCATTGATTTATACAAATTTTAATAATTTATTCGATGTATTTTGGATTGGTTTTAGATGACTTTTGATGAGAAACATCATACTTGATTTATTGTATGCAATTGTTGGGAATTAATGTTGGGTTGAATATAATATGGATTGGACTTGTGTGCTACATGTTATAATGATGTGTTGAGATGATTAATGCTATGAAAATGCATTATGTATGATTGATGACATGATTGATGTATGTTGTGCAATTTGGTGAAGATAATTCAAATGTGTTGAATTATGTGAAATATGCTTGTATGATTAAGATATGGAGATGGTCTTAATTGCATATTTATGTTGAGATTGCACATGCATCATTCGTGTCAAGAGGTAATGGTCGGTAATTCAGTAGGAGTTATTGACTTATCCCAAACCTAACGTTGAGGGGTTTGAAAGTTTAAGGCTGACATGCTTTTTGGTGGTTATCTGTCTTGAGATGTGGATCTGGCATGGCCGGTAAGGACAACAGTTGGTACCACATGCATATTGCATTGAGTTGCATTGGAGTCACATGAGTCGATGTGAAATGTTGAATTGGTGTGTAGTATGTGATATTGGTGTGAATGTTATATATGTGGTATCTGTGATTGATTATCTTTGAATCATGAATTATTGAGCAATGTTGTATATGTAGTCATGTGAGTTATGTTGAAGTATGTTGTATACATGATTATGTGAAGTGTGATGAATTTAATTGATGCTTGTATGTGATGCATTACTATTATTATATATTTCCATAATTATATTAATTCTCACCCTTCTGTTGGAATGATGTTTTATACGATATTGCTCAAGTACCGAGGATAGCGGTGGTGCTTCTAGCAAGGAGTTATTGGAGGAGCTAGACCTTTATTTATGTATTTTACTAGGTAGTGAGTCATGCTCTGGTCTATGTAACACGAAGAACGTTTGAATTCATGTTTAGTTTATTATATTCATGTTTATTTGAGAGATGTTGTTATATTCTCTAGATATTTATATTTGATTGAGATGTATGTGATGATGGCCTTTAATGCCCAATATTTTATGATATGATTGTTAGTATGAGATTTCAATCATTTGTATTATTATTTTGAGTTGAAAAATATTTTTCGCTGCGAGATACATATGTGTTATTGTACGGAACATGATTCTAAATGCGTGTTATGATCACGAGTAGTATATTTATGTTGTTTGTCGTGAAGTAAATATGACTCTCACTTTGATATACATGATATTTATTCTGATTATGATATTTATTTTATGCAGGATTTAGGGGATATTACAGTTGATACTTTCAGTTCGGTTGTATTTATTATTTGTTTCTCTCTTTTGATATACCATTTTCTCTTTCGATTCCTTCTATCACTATAGTGCTTACTTTTATTGTATTTTAGTAGTTATTCATCTTTTATATATATATATATATATATATATATATATATATATATATATATATATATATATATATATATATATATATATATATATATATATATATATATATATATATATATATATCATTAAAAAAACTATTAACAATTAAATTTGAAAGTACAAAACTTATAGTTATTGAAAATAAAAAACTTAAGATAATTAATTCTAAGAGAATGTAAATAAGAAAATTGAGTATATTAATGGAATGATGATAATATTTTAATCCAGTCACACTATATCAAATATCAAATATGATGTAACTGTGCTAAGGGACACTAGCTCTCTAACTAAAACTTATAATTAATCTAATAAAATAAAAGTATAAACATGATATACCTTTTCAAAGTATAAACATGATATACCTTTAGATTTTGTAAATACATATGCTATATCGCCTTATCACTACTAATTGCATGTAAACAATTTCTACAGAAGAGTACATGATAAATAAAACAGCGAAGGTTACCCAACAAGGGACACCAACCTAGACAAAGCTTAACAAGGCAGCAAATAAAACTAGTACACAAGAATTGCACATACTACATCCTTTCATTAATAGTTATAAAACTAGTACAGAAGATTTGCACCAAAAAAAAAAAAACTTACAAAAGATATAACAATTAACCTCACAATTTGATTATTGTACATAAAAGATCCAGTAAACAAATAGTCTCATATTCACTTTGGATTCTGGTTAAGACTAACATATTCATCACACACACAAAAAAACTTGAGAATACTCCTTAAAGATCCTCAAGAGAGTCAGCAACTTCAAAGTTCTGATAACCATTACCATCCATAGCAGCTAAACCCTTAAACCGTATGCTATTAAAGTAAGTTTCAATGCGCTTTTTCCTAACAGGATCATTCAAGAACTTAATCAAGTGACGCTCCTTCATAGCCCCACCAAACACATCCACTAAATTCGCACATGCCATCTCATCAAATTTTGGGGTGGCAGTTATCCCCCTATATATACAATCCTTTACATAAAGCAGATAAGACCCAACTCTCATTTCAGCTATGGAAGGCTCTTCATATCCATAAAGAGGACCTAACTTTAACTTCAAGTCAGCACTGATTCTTGCAGATTGTGCTTCCAGCTCCATTTGACGCTCCTTTAATTCGTGGATCTCGCTCTGAATGCGTTTGCGTACTTGCGTAAGAGGAGCAGCATAATCAAAAAGTATTCTTGCTAAGGCAACTACTGACATTCCCTCCTTTTGCATTTTTGCTGACAACTCACTTTTCATCCAGTTGATACAGTTGACGAAATTGAAGAATCCATTCGGAGGTGTGGCGGAAGGATAATACACTGATTCACGAGCTATATTGAAAAAAGATCTTAAAGCGCAGAGATCTGGGATGAAAGAAATAGGTTGGATAAGCTCCAGGAATTTAGTATCGGTGTAGCCGTGGTTATGGAGATTGTTGAGGCTAAACAACTCGGGACGGAAACCGATTTGGATGAATGAAGAACATGCAGCATTGATCTTTGCTTGCCGTTCAACAAGTGATTCTCTCGGGCCACCGCTGCCACTAGTAATGAAGTTAGCCATCGCAGAAGAAAGATAAAAATGAAAGATGTAAAATGGATTCTTGTTGGTTACAGTTGAAATGCTCTTGAGTGTACAAAACAAATAGGCGGGAAAATAATAACGGAAAATAACCGCTTTATTTTTCAATCCGCGTGATTTCTATTTTCACCATTGGATCAGAATTGACATCAATGGCTGTAGATTGATTGTCTCACCAAATGCAGAGACAGTTAGCAACGAGTCAAACTGAATAACAAACTCGCGAAACCGTTTCTCTATATGGTGCCACCTGGCATTTTCTCCCGTGAGTATTCTACTCCTAGTTTGTTTGCTCTATTTTGCTTAATATACTTATTAGTTAGTTATCCGACTTTCGAATCCAATTCTCAAGAGTTTATTATCTGATTTCTTAATAATATTCTAATAAAAAAAATGGTGAGTATTATAATTGATTATGCTTTATTCTAATAAAAATGTAAGAATTTTACTATTTTAGTATTCAATGTGAAAATAAATATTTAAATATAATTTACTAAAAACAAATATAACATGTGATTTTGAACATCACACTTTTGAGAATATAGTTTAAATTTCTCAAATAAATACATATGTCATATACAAATTAAATTATTTAAATAATATACAATTTTATTTAATATATTTTTTAATTTTTTAAACAACAATAAATATTTTAAAAATAGAAAATATATTGTCATGATAAAATATATAAACGGTCCACATATCATAATAATTTTAATATATAATTTCAGAAGTAGATATAATTAAAGTCATAGTTTTTTTTAGATCTAAAAGTTGTGATTATAAAATTAAAATCCCTAAAATGTTCACAGTTGAAATTGAAAAAAAAAACTTAAAATTATTGAAAGAAAAATAAACTCCACCCTAACCAATGATTTTTTTCCTCTCCGTGCAACTAACCACACTCAAAATAGTGCTAGTGTCAATTAGCTTCTTCCTCTACAAGGAAGACAATAGTTCAAAAGGGTCGAATGGAACATTCTAAATCTCAAACACTTAATTTATAAAACACGCAGAATAAAATATTAAGACAAAAAAGCTACATTTCTCTGCATAAAATTCACAAATTAAGACAGAAACAGAAAATAAACTTCAACACATCTTCAATTATCTCATATATAGAAATAAACTTCATTTAGTAAAAAATCTTCAATTAAACAACTCGCAAAAAAAAAAAACAATTAAAGTATCCTTATCCAATATTACAATATTAGAGTGACACACAGAAAATTAAATAACGCAAAATGATAAACTACGAAGAAGGTCAACTATATCATCCTCTAACATAAGCAATATCCTCTCGTCTCTATTTGAGTATCTGCATCGTAGGCGTAAAGAACAACACACAAACAAACAAGGGGTGATAATACAATCACATATGTTAACGGTGTATAACACAATAAGGTGTTAACTGAGAATTTGGACTATACGAATGTTGAGCTGAAATGATAAATTCAGGAAGAAATTTGGTTCGAAAAAGCAATATGAAGGGGATCTTGTGAAGATTTCGATGAATGAAAAGCTAATAAGAGTTTCATTTTGCTAAGTGTTGGCGTAAGGTTCGTTTTGTGAATCATTGGAACTTATTTTATTCGAAGTATTATCAGAATAGATACTTCGACCGTCACGTTTATATTTGGCGCTTCGAAGACAAGAAGGTTTTCAAATTTGAAAGTTTGATCTTATCCAAAGAGACGCATGAAAGCCTGAAGAGATTCGAAGAACATGCAATAATGAACGTGACATTGTTTTTGTAATAGAATGTTAGGGTCGAATTAGTATAAATAGGGGGTCTTAGCAATAGGATTCGTGTGTTCACATCTTTGTACAAGTTACTCTAAATTACTCAAAGTACCAGCGTTCGAGAAACTAGTTGTGAGAATGTACGTATGATACACCAATTTTATATTTATTGTCATTCAACTTTAATTGAAGTTTTATACATTCCTTTTAAGTTTATGTTGAAATTCTTTTACATACCAGTCTTTTCTTTAAAGCATTACATTATTACATTCGAAGTAACAACTGAAATCAGTATTGTTTAAAAGATTAAGAATATTGTCGAAAGTATTTTTTATTTTCAATAACAAAAGTTTGAATAAGAACACATGTCCTTAGGATTAATCTGGTCGATCGTGCAAGTCACCAATCTTTTCTTCGATTTAGAAGACCAGCGATTGTTTACCAAATTTCACGGTAAACACAAGGATAATACAATTAGCATAAATAATCAATGATATAATTCATCCAAAACAAATCATTTACAAATGCAATTATGTAAGCGATATAATCATCTCCTCTACTCTAATACATGTGATACCAAAATTCTGATATTCAGAGGTGTGTTACTGAAGCATCCAACTCGTCACTGGACCGAAGTCCTACTCGTCACTAGATCGGAGTCTTAACTCGTCATTAGATATAAGTCTTACTTATATCCAATATACATGATGCATGAATGCTACGCAAATATATGCAATACTCTTCTCTACCTCCAACTTCAATAGTCATCATTGGTTCCTCTCGAACCTAAAAATCATAATAAATCATTTCCAATTCAAGGCCACATCAATGGTTCTACTAAATAAGAAATCTCAGTATAAACTCAACACAATAATTAAAAGAATTAATTTCTCATCAATACTCATCAACAACATCAAAACAGGACTAAATAATACTGAAAAGTCGAAAACATTAGAAATTGGTCAAAATTGGATCAAACAGCTCAATACAACCACTTTACATGGCTGACAGTTGGACTGCCTTGGTTATGACGGTCCTCACCCTTTGGTAATGGTCGCCCATCAATCGTTGGCGTTTTAGGGTTTGTGCGCTCATTCTAGTGTGTTGATGGTTGGTATGTCACCCGTCTGACGCACATCATCATTGTCGATTAGCATCGTCGTCCTTGACGCGGTAACGGTTGGTTCATCACGTAGGTGACACCCGTCATCGCTGTGTAGAAGGTGGTTTCTACATTTTCTTCATTAAATCGCTCTAGATCTCAATTTCCTCAACTAATTTTTGTACCATTCGAACACCCAACATTCGATTGACACATTATAACAATAAAATTCACAACAAAACATCAATTTAACATTTGTCACATCAATTAATCATGAAATCAATCATCATATTCATCAAAACCATCAGAATTAGGCATATAGATCTATATGAAATTAAATAATAATCAGAGCACGAAAATAACAACATATCACAACAATTTAGAGAGATTTTGCATAAATCATCTCAAGATTCAACATTTTCATCAATGGAGTAAATAGGAAAGGAAAAAAGGAAAGAGGGTAAGGAATCATCTCTATCCTCCATGCTTAAACACCTATATCATGAACAGTTCCTCCTTCCCTTACTTGGAATCCGCAGAAAACTTCAAGCTACGCCTATGAAATATCTCTTCTCCTAATCTTGCTTTGCCAGGGCTTTTCCTCTCAACTCTACTGACAAATTATTTTTACCAAACATCTTCCCCATTCTATTTCCATTCTTTATTTAAATAAAAAATCCTATTTTTATTAATTCTAATAATTCCCTTCAACTCTCACTAATTCCATTCACCACCCTAATTTATTAAATGTCTGTTTTAATGCCCAAAACCTCAGTTTCTCTTATTTCCTATTAATTAAATTGTTAAAAACATTATTAATTTATACTTAAATAATAAACTACAATTCTTCACTTCTACACTAATTTTAATATAATAAAATTCTACCCAAAATTTATTAATTAAATAAAAATAACTAAATGAATCTAAAACACTCCAAAACTAAGTTAAAAAATATATTATAAATAAAACCAGAGTGTTACACTGAGCACTTCCTTATAACCAATTCCATGTTATAAATACTCTAAATCCTCATTCATCATAACCTCTTCAATATATAGAGAGTCAAGTTTGATGTTATAACAATGAGCAGCAGAGTGGAAATGAGGCCAGGACTAGTATTTTAGAAACCTACTCTTGCAATAAGGAGAGGACTATGTCTGGCTATAGCACAATGCAAGATGAGCCTCTAGAGTACAAGGCCTCACCAGCATGATTCACCTTAGGAAATCACCCCATTCGTCAGTAAAGGGGATGAGCCAAGTAAGGTTCTAATGAAGCTCAATAAGCACCTGGTCCCAGATATTATTCTAGCACTGCTACAAAAAACACATCTAACATCGGACACAAAACACGTTTGACCTTGGCGGAAGAAGCGAGGTAGTGAAGGGTGACATGAAAAGCTACCACTTAACACCTCATTTATTAAAACGTTGAGGGGTAAAGTTATTTGCACGTGAGTTTGATCACCAACATCAGCATTTTTATTATTTTCTGAACTAGATGGAACGCCCAATATTAACACTAGGTGTTTTGTATCACTGAGATAATATCTCAATGTTATTACCTCGGTTTAATGTAAAAATCGAGGGGATACTTTTTTTTATACTTTCGTTTGCACCTGTATTACATAATCATATTTTGAAAATTTTTGAAACAGGGGCACCGTGCATTTTACCAATATCTCAATATGAAACATTGTACCATAAATATTTATTGATTACACCAAATACAAACCTAAAATTACATCAAAACTAAAACAAATGTGTAAGAAACAAAAGCAATACACCATTTACTTACTAGTTTTCGCATATCCCCTCTTCATGATCAGGACGAATAACATGCATATCATTTGAATCATTTTCTTCATATGATTTACGTATACGTGTTGCTAAACAATGCGTCTCATAGTTAAAATCTTAATTTTGATCATTACTATCAAGAAGATGTTCTCCTTGAAGATAATTAACCATATAGTGTTAGAAGAATCAGTGACATAAAAAACTTATTTTGCTTGGGTTTCCATGATGAAGGGTTCGTTCTTATATGTTATTTTTCGAATATCAACCTGTGTGAATTCTAATTCATAGGTAACTCCACCAATGTTACTGTAAATCCACTTGCACTTAAATAAAGGCAC